CTGTATGTTTACTGAAGAAGGTCTCTATAGAAGTGGACCTGCACAGTGGAAACCCACGTTGTCGAACAACTGCTGTTGTGCAGCTGAGTGTCAACTGGGTGCGACATACAGGGAGGAACCTCCCAAAGTCAATTTGCTCAGAGTCCTCCCTGTCCCAAAGTCTCTAGATGCCCCAGCAAACATTTCTTTCCTAAACATTAACTCTTTTCTGTAAATTGCTTTATTTCCCTTTGAAGTCCCAGATGCTTACCTCCCTCTCCTAGTCCAGGATGATATATAACCTCACTTTGCTTTACTATCTTTGGATTCTTCATGCTTATGTGAATTCCCCATATGTATATATTAAATTTGATTTTCTCCTGTTAATCTGCCTTATGTCATTTTAATTATTCCACCAGCCATAAGCACCGAGAGTGGAAGGGGGTAATTTTCCCTTCCCCCACAATAGAAGGATTCAAAACATTTCTCTTCTTTCATGAATTAGCTTCTGTTAATGTTTCCAGAAGTACAGACCTTTGCCCCATGCCTCTCATTCCAAATGAAAGGACTACCTTAAAATGACATTAATAAATAAATACACCTAAATATGGGTACGTCTGAAATAGAACCAACCTCCTAATACAGTAGCAACTGTGGCGAGCAGTTTGCTTTATGCAGCCTGGGAGAGTGGCAGCCGGCCAGCAGAGTATCCTATAATCCATTGCTAGTCTACCTCCCAAATGCTATAAATATTCATGATGCCACAGAAAGCTACAAAGGGCTTTATTCAAACATTTTTTTGAATACTCCTTTATGTTCCCCCAAATAAAAGAATATCTGCCTTTTTTTTGCATAAGGATCAGAGTGTGAATTCTCTTTTGTTCATACTCATAAATCCTGAAAACCAATATGCAACAAATTCTCTAATCCTCATTTCGTACCTCAAGGGTGAAGAGGTTCAAAATAAAAATACTCAGGGTTGGCACAGTAGTTTGCTCTGACTGCAATGCTGCCGCCGAGAAAAGGCATCTGTGTTCTGGCCACCGTGGCGACTTCTGCCCCTGGCGGGGCTCCTTCTGGGGATGCAGCCTCCCAGCCCCACACAGGCTGCCAGCTCCGCTCGTCACCCTAGCCTTGCTGACGACTGACAGGGAAGGAGCGTGCACATCAGCCTGCAAAGGGAGATGTGTCCTTCGGGAAGACACACAGCAATCACAGCAGCCACTAGTGGGAGCTGTAGGTGGCAGTGGGGGGCAGGGCGGGTAGCCCATGGAAAGAAGGAGTTGGAACGTTTACTATAAGCGCCAGGTTGGTCAAAGCCAGGTTTAAAAAACATAATCCACCCTTCTTGAAATTCTATTTTGTTTTCCAGTAACATCCAACTCATGGAAGGGCAACTGTAAAATTACACTTTGTCACGGTATGAAATATCAAATATAGTTGTGGGAACGGAGAACCAATAGTAGTCTTTCTCCCCTTCTTTATTATAGTAGTAGAACCCCCTAATTTTTAGTGGGACACATCATATCCTAAATAAGGGCTACATATCCTACCTTCCCTTTCATGGGACTAAATTTCTGATCAGCAAAATGTGAGCCAAGTGGTGAGTGCAACTCCAGGTCACCTTGCAGGGAAGAAGCTTGGATCTGCCTTTCCCCTTCCCTCCGGATGGAATGGGGTCCTGGTGGCCGCCACTTTGGAGCACGTGGAAGGTGAGACAGCAAGAGAGAAGCCTGGAGCCGTGACTCCTGGAGCGCAGCTACCACACTGGCTTGGCCCGTAACATGAGATAGAAACACACTGATCTGGCCAAAGCCATTGTTAATTTAGGTTCCTGTTACTGCAGCCGAACTGCTAGCTACCTTAGCTATTCAGTAGCTTTTAAGCAAAAGTGGACTCTTTCTGAGATCAGGGGCAAAGGACCCCTCTCCTCAGTGCTAGGCATGTAAGAATCCACAGCCATGGGCATGAGTGCAGAACGTTCACTGAATACAATCTTGACTTTGCCTTTATGGGTTATGGGTGCAACACCAAGATCTAAAAACTCAGATGAGCCTGGCTGGTGTGGCTCAGTGGATTGAGCGACATCCTATGGACTGAGAGGTCCCCGTTTGATTCCCAGTCAGGGGTTGCTGGCTCGATCCCCAGTAGGGGGCGTGCAAGAGGCAGCCGATTGATGTTTCTCTCTCACATGGATCTTTCTATCTCTCCCTTCCTCTTTCTGTCTAAAGGATCAATAAAAACATATTAAAAATAAAAATAAAAACCCAGATGAAAAAACTTTCATCCTCGTTGATGGATATTTTTGCCGTTCTCGTTTTTTTCTGTTTAGTTAACTTCAGTGATCAAAGGTCTAAAAAGTTCAGTCAACTCTTTAGGAAACCTGGACTTCTACTCCTCTGTGCACATACTTTACATGCAGGTGGCTGGCTTAGCCACCCCTCAGTCTGCATTTCTGCATAAGTGATCTGGAAGGCTCTTTACCTATTGGCTAAGTCTTTCATTTCTGGAAACCACATTTTCTTTTGAGAAATCAGGGAAATGTGTTTAATTCTCCATGCTAATAAGTGAGCAAAGAAGGCTTTTTTACTTTGATCAAAGAATTATTAAACTGACACAGTAATAGAGATTCTTATACCCTGCCCTTGGTGTGGGGGGCTGGAGGGGAAGACTGTTGAGAAAAGACTTGCCCTTCAGTGTAGACTGTCTTTGAGGTGTGTGGACTCTTGTGCTAGTTCCTAAAAAGCTTAAGACATGGGAACCTAGTGCCCAGCAACTGCTGCACTTCTTTACCGAACCGGGCTTTGCAATCAGCTCATTCCCAAAGCTGGGTGGTGTGAGCCTTACAGGGTTACCGAGGGGTGTTTCACATTGTCCTGAAGTCACACAGGCTAGCTGGATTTCAGGAAACAAACAGAACAGTTTCTGATAAGACTTCTATAGCACTATGTGGCTTATAGGAATACTTCTACACTCTGGACCACCCACAAGCTCCAGGGATAGATGGAGCAGGCACGATCCCCACTTTCTGCTGGGGAAACTGACCTGCAGAGAAGGGACAGCTGCAAAGCGATGAAGCTGAGAATTAAACCTCATGTGTCCTAAACTCCAAGCCCCGAGCTTCTCTTGCAAGAACCACATACGCCACTGCAAATCATGGCCCGGGGCAGATGCTCACCCACAGATACAACCCTGTAACACCTTATCCATCCAGGCTGCATCCAAAGGATTTAGAAGACAATGGAGCATTCCATTAACATGCACTATGTAGCTAAATACAAATTTTGGCATAACCTGCTTCACTGCTTTGCAGAAGATAAAAAAATAAACTACAAAGTAACTCATGCCAGTAAACACAGCATTTTAGTGGTGGGGTTGGGATTGAGGGGAGGATTGGAAAAAACAGAATATGTGCCAGTTCCACATCTGTTATTTATAAAAATTTTGGTTTCGGATATAAAGATTTTTAAGTTCCCTCTCTGAACTTCAGTGAACTTTATTTGAATAAACAACACACGTTTAGATAAACAGTCCCTAATAAAGATGGGCTATGGAGTTGCCTTTTACCTACATGCACTAAAGTCAGGCTCAGGAGGTAAACATTTCAAAGGCATCCTGGGCAGGCTGAGCCACCATCACACAAACAACCGTATGAGTCACCCGGAGTAGTCTGTGTATTAGCAGCAGGCAGCCCAGGATGAGCACACAGCCCAGGACCAGCACACAGCCCAGGACCAGCACACAGCCCGGGACCAGCTCAGAGCCAAGGATGAGCACACAGCCCGGGACCAGCACACAGCCCGGGACCAGCACACAGCCCGGGACCAGCTCAGAGCCCAGGACGAGCACAAGCCCGGGACCAGCACACAGCCCGGGACCAGCACACAGCCCGGGACCAGCTCAGAGACCAGGACCAGCACACAGCCCGGGACCAGCACACAGCCCGGGACCAGCTCAGAGCCCGGGACCAGCACACAGCCCAGGATGAGCACACAACCCAGGACCAGCACACAGCCCAGGACCAGCTCAGAGCGCAGGACGAGCACACAGCCCGGGACCAGCTCACAGCCCGGGACCAGCACACAGCCCGGGACCAGCTCACAGCCCGGGACCAGCACACAGCCCGGGACCAGCTCAGAGCCCGGGACCAGCACACAGCCCGGGACCAGCTCAGAGCCCGGGACCAGCACACAGCCCGGGACCAGCACACAGCCCGGGACCAGCTCAGAGCCCAGGACCGGCACACAGCCCGGGACCGGCACACAGCCCGGGACCGGCTCACAGCCCGGGACCGGCTCACAGCCCGGGACCAGCACACAGCCCGGGACCAGCTCAGAGCCCGGGACCAGCACACAGCCCGGGACCAGCTCAGAGCCCGGGACCAGCACACAGCCCGGGACCAGCACACAGCCCGGGACCAGCTCACAGCCCGGGACCAGCACACAGCCCGGGACCAGCTCACAGCCCGGGACCAGCACACAGCCCGGGACCGGCACACAGCCCGGGACCGGCACACAGCCCGGGACCGGCACACAGCCCGGGACCGGCTCACAGCCCGGGACCGGCTCACAGCCCGGGACCGGCACACAGCCCGGGACCAGCTCAGAGCCCAGGATGAGCACACAGCCCGGGACCAGCACACAGCCCGGGACCAGCACACAGCCCGGGACCGGCTCACAGCCCGGGACCGGCTCACAGCCCGGGACCAGCACACAGCCCGGGACCAGCTCAGAGCCCGGGACCAGCTCAGAGCCCAGGACCAGCTCAGAGCCCAGGACCAGCACACAGCACAAAGGCTAAGGCTGCTTGAGGCCCCACACAAATACCATTCTGTCTCACAAAAGAGAACTGACAGACTAAAAGTAGTAGCCAATTTGAACCAAATATTTAAAAACTCCTTTATGTGCAACTACCTTTTTAGCATGGCAGCATATATGAAAATTAGTTGCTCTATGAGCACAAATGCAAATTTTACTTTAAAAAAAACAACATTGTGCTTCAGGTTATAATACCACACGTACCATTTTTTCAAAGTTGACTAGGTTGTCAATGAACGTCTTGTTCCCCTCATGAGTAAATGTCATATCTGCAAAGAAATAAAAGTCACATTCGAATCACTAACAGAAATATGTCATACTAAGAAACCATAATAGCCCCATTCGATTATGCTGGAGGATTTGCATAACACTGCGGCGGGAAAAATCCTGACAATAGTTCCTTTATGTTAGGCATTTAACTTTCTAAAGCACTTTACCTGAGGTTAGTAAAATCTCCTGCCTAACCCTCTGTGTTACTATCATGTCTTCCAAATTGCGGTTCCTGCTCCTCCAATAACCTTCCCATCCCTTCCGAGGTCAGGACTGAGGACGCGAGGAAGCAGTGGAAGGGTGGAATCGCTCTTACCCACAAGACCGATCTGATTAGGCTCTTATTCATTTCCTTCCCCACAGTCATCCCCGGCGGCCTGCACGTCCTCAGATTTACCTTTGATGAGCAAAGGCATGAAGGGGATGAGAGGAGGCTCCAGCTTCGCTACCGTCAGCCTGTAGGCCCTGTGGTTTCTTGAAGGATCCTTCAGAGAAACAACGAGGCCGATTAGCTGTACCCCCTAACACACCCAGCCACGTCACCCCGCCATCGGGTAGCATGGAATGAAACGTAGCTACCAGGAAAAGGTAGACCTAGTTAAACAAATTGATTTGTGTTTTAAAACAACTTTATGTGACATGAAAATACTTTGGTTTTTGCTTCCTTTCTTGTTTGAAAGGGAGATTTGCCCATAAGGATCAAGGGGAGAGATTCCTTTGCTAGCAAATATAAAAGGTGTAAAACAACCCCCAAGCAGGACATTCCCTGGTCCCGGAGCGGGCTCTCCCGGCAGTTGGGCTCACCCCCCTCTGCGCGCGCAGCCAGTCCCGACTTGCCCTGTCTGACACCATCCATGGCATCGCTCCTGCCAAGTCCCACTCGCTCCTTCTCTGCCTGTTAACACCTCCCAGCCAGTGGGGGAAATAATTTTGGCAAGCCAAGAAAAATGTAACTTCCAACCCATGGCCAACCTGTGCTAGATGAAAAGGATCTTATTACACTGCTTTTCTTAGTTACACAAATTGACCTTATGTGGGACATAAGTCCTCTTTAAGTTAGTTCCCAAGGGTGCCATTCATTAGTCAGACATGCTTGTTTTAGCAGCACTAAAACGGGATCATAAACTTCTTAAAGTCATGCAAGGACAGATAAAATTTCTGAAATGAGAACTTCAATTCAGCTCATCAGAAACCGGATTAACGCAGACAGTGAACAGATGAAGGAGCCACTGTCACTTACCATTAAACTTTCAAACTCCGCGTAGAACTTCTTGAACTTGCTTGGCAGTTTCTGTGAATGAAACGACAATGCCACACTCGTGTGTCGGATTCGATATCTGGATGGGTATCACGTGTTACCATTTCTAGGGGAAATGCATTTCTTTGGGCACTTAATCACAATAGCTTGAGGACAGGCCAGACGGTAATCTGCCTTGTCATTTGAGGATGATCTTCCAGAGTACAGAGAACTTACCTTTTAAAAGTCTTAACTTAGATGAACCAAAAGTAACCTTGGATGCTTTGGTCTTCCTGCTTTTATAATGATTCTGAAATGAATTATTCATAAAGAGGACTACATTCCCAGATTACAGGTGTTTCAGAATGAAACCCTGATTCCCATAATTAGGAATTTAGACCAGAGAATATTGGGATTGAAAGTCTTAAAAATTTCCTGTTTTAACCCTTCCCCCTTACGAAGCAAGCTACTCGAGAACAGGGATTTTCATCAGTTTTGTTTATTGCTATATCCTCAGTGCCCAAAAGTGTAGGAACATAGTAGATGTTCAGTAAATATTTATTTGGCTGGATTAAACCTGAGTTTTATAGATGGAAGAAATTAAGTCTCACAGTTTACATGAAATGCCCAAAGCCCCCCAGCTGATACGGCCACTGCCTCAGTAATTCGCACCACCTGCTTCCTGTCCTATTGTACGAGCCGCTTGTCCACACGGGCATTTCTCCCACAGGATTTTCCTGTCCCGCTATGATACAAAACTGGACAGTCCCATCAGTTTGGTCACTCCTTGTGTTTGTATTTCGGCACACGATTCAACACCACTGACTGTACCCATGTATCCACAGCAGAAGGCCGATTCCGAAACATCTTTCGGTCTATGGGTCTGGCTCTGCTTGGGTTCTACGCTTTTAGTGAAGCTGAACTCTCCTGACTGGGCCACATCATCAGGGAGCCGGGGACACGTCCTCTTCCGAGACGATGAAAGCACAGCCGAGTCCCGGGCCTCAGGGGTGCCCAGCTCAGCTCTGCTTGGACGGGGACATCAACAACCGAGTCACCCACCAGGCCTCCGCCACCCACAGAAAAGCTCTTCTCTTCTTTTCCCCTTATATCGGAATCGATTTAAATATTCCCTCTTAAACATTGTAGAATATATTCTTTCTGTTTCTAGGACGCCAAATTCATTTTGCCAGCCCCTATTTTCAAGTGAGGCACCAGGGAAACGTGACACCTTGCTGGAGGGATCATTCAGAGGGACGAAAGCCAGGTGGGCATCGAGACGCAAGGGTCTCATCCCACGCGGAGTACCCACATCCTCACCGGAAACCTTCTATGAACACAGACTCTTTCACGAACCAGGAGTGAATTACATTTTTTGGTTAGATCTGTCATACTAGTTCTCTTTCTTGACTGTGCTGGCTTTGGGTCAAAGGCAGGAGGGCATACGGTAATAAAAAATGTTGCGGGTCTATTATCTGCCCACACCCCATGCTTCCAGACTAGTGGTTCTCAACTGGGGGTGATTTCGCACCCCTCCCCCAGGGAATTTTGAAAATGTCTGCAGAGTTGTTGTTGTCACTGGCAGGTGAGGTGACAGGTGCAGCTGGTATACAGTAGGCAGAGGCCGGGGATGCTGCCGAGCACCCCACAGGGCACAGGACAGCCCCTCAGAGAACCACCCTGCCCCAGTGTCGTACTCCTGGGGCCAAGGACCAGCTCCAGGCTGTCATTCCCATTTGCTTTATCGCAGATTGGTCTCCCCGTCTCCGTTGATCCATTTCCTCTTCCATGCAGTTGAACTTGATTTGCTGTTTTGTTCACGGACAGCTTCATGTGGTTTTGTAGCTGCTGGGGGCCAGGCACCGCTCCCCGCTGCTCATCCTGGTTCTCACGGGAGTTGCTATGGGAGGCCCTTGAGGGGTACTTGGCAAGTACAGGTAGATAAACCCAAATTAAAGAGCTTTCTGCCGAATGATATAATTATATTCCCCTTAAAAAATAAAGGCGTATACACGATGGAAGGTTAATCTTCTCTTTTCAGCAACATGCAAGGATGGAAACAGAAGCTCACAGAATGAGGATGCCTTCTTACTTCCCGTGAGCCGGAAAGACTGCCAGGAAACTCCCTGCCTTTGCTGACTGCACCCTCTCGCCCTGGGCGGCCTCTGCAGACCAGGACAGGGGCCTGACCGTCTCCCACACACGACAGCCTCAATGTCTGGCTGCTGTAGCACCGACACCAGGCCTTCCTGGACCCCTGTGAGGCTTTATACTTCTTTGATTATCCCAACCAACTCATTTGGACTCTGGGGGAGGAGGGTCGGAAACTGGAAACAGTTTGGGGAAAGCAGAGCATCTGAGGGGACCCCCTAGGTCTCCAGAGTCCCAGAGCTGCAGGCTCAGGACAGGTGAGCCTGCACGATGTCCTCACTGCTCAGCTCCACTGGCAGCACTAACTGCCCTTCTCCGGTTGGAAGACGATACAGCTGCGTGGCACGGGGGCCTCGCCCATGCCCTCATTCCTATATTCGGGGGATGAGCTGCTGTGTGCTGCAGCTGCCTGGAATTTTAAGAGAAAACCAGGGCAGAAGGACTTGTGAGGACCTGCCCTATAAACAATGTTTCCCTTGAAGAAAACAGTTTCAAGAGGGACACAGGGAAGGCCATGTTTCAGGAACACATTTAGAGATGCCATCAGCCGCCTGTAAGCCCCGTGAACATTCGGTCTCCGTTATCCACTTCTTGCCCTCTCTCTGTGGCCCACTTACACATACGTCTTCTTTTTAGTAAGTGTCTATTTCTGTGTGTATGCTCTGTTAAAGATTAGTATTTCTTTGACTAAATACCACATGTAAGGGGTCGGGCAGGTTTTGAGTACTTAGCTAATGAAAACTGAGCGTGTTCTTTAGCACAAATGGCCAACTGGCAGCAAACCACTAATCACATTTGCTGCAGAAACTTGTAATGCACCTGCATAACTTTTGCCCCAAAGTGACTACTAGCCGACGCTGTTCCTCCACACAGAGAGGTCTGCCAGGTGGTTAAGAGATACCTGACTGGGCTAAACAGTTGGCCTTTTGGTTAATTCTCCCAGAAACAAATGACTACTTAGAAAAAAAAAATGGGTCTTCTATCCTCTCTTAATTATAAGTAAGGTTTAAGGCAAAAGCAACAAGCAGACATTCCAGAGAACAAAGGAATCTATGACCAAACCTTTGAAGTCATCCAAACAATGTGTTTGATTAACATTCTACCTAGGAACTAGAGTTGTTATTATTTACATCATATCGACCGAGAAGCCGAGATCCCCTCCATCCCTTTCATACACGAAAGGACAATACCTTTTAAATTCACACTCTGAGGTAACTGGGAAAAGGAGACATTTCATCTCCCTCAGCGTCTCACTCTCCACTGGTACACGAGAGTGAATGGTATTTGTGCACAGCAAGCTCACCGGTGAGCCTGCGTTTTACCGGTGAGCCTGCGGTTTTATCCAGGAGGCCCGAGGCGCAGCTGCTCCCGGCTGAGGCTTACCTCCCACGTCAGGGCCAAGCGGCTCACCGCGACGTTGCTCAGTCCCATGACGATGGCGAAAAAGGAATTCAGGTTTTTGTACTCCTTACAGCTGAAACACAAGAGGCACGCGTTGGAATAAAATGCCACTTTCGAGTGAAATAAGAAAAATTAGAGTCCCATTTTCTGATCGTCGTTAATATTCGCCAGGACTCCTGGTGAGAACGGGGACACTGCGGGTTCCACTGGGGTGACCGCGTTCTGCTGTTCGATCTCCCACTGTGCTTCCAGGAAGGCGATGGTATGGGCCAGCCAAGCCCAGGTTTCGAGAAGGGATTTAAAGACACCTACCCTAGGGTTTGTAATTAGGATCCCAAAGCTCACTGAAAGCTTGTGGTCCTGAGGGAACCGCATGGGGCGGGAAGAGAGGAAGCAAATGTCCTTGACGCCCGGGCGTGCGGCCTGAAGCTGGGCACCTCCGCGGGCAGCTTGAGGGGGAGCAAGGACATCACACTGCTGCAGCCACCGGACCCCACTGGCCATGCAAATGCGTCTAATCTGTTGAAAAGGATCAGTGTACCTGTCATGTTCCCTATGGACTCAAGGAGTTGTAAAGCTGAGAAGAAAACCTAAGCAATTGAGAAAAAAACAAAACAAAAAAAAAACACCCTATTTTCTCTGTGTTTTACTGATGTTAATGAAGCTGATCATTTTGAATCTGTACTTATGCCACTATTAGATTTTATAAACATATATTTAAGAATAAGAATACTGAGGGACAAGACCACAGATTCTTATTAGAATGGCAATATTTAGCCCAGGTACTTGGATTCATTTAAAAAAGGGGTGCTGGTGGTGGAGGGGGGTATCCTCAACCTCATACCGCCCTGGCCAGTTTGGCTCGGCGGTTAGAGCGTCGGCCTGCGGTCCGGAGAGACCCGGGTTCGGTTCCCGCTAAGGGCGCGTACTTCGGTTGCAGTTTGTCCCCGGCCCTGGTTGGTCGTGCGGGTGGCAGCCACTCGATGTGTCCCTTCACGTCGATGTTTCTCTCTCTCTCCCCCTTCCCCTCTCTCCCTCCCACTCTATCTGTACAAAAAATGGAAAAATATCCTCGGGTGAGGATCAACCTCATACCAGTTCCTTGAAAAGGGAAATAAGAATTCATTTTGCAGTGAGCACAAATTCCTTACCCCAAATCCATGTGGTTATTTAAATTGACTATGTCATAATTAATCCTGTCTGGATTAACATTTCTGTAAAAGGCTAATTAACTTGTTGCATTTGCTGCCCCTGTTCTTGCGGAGATAACAATGAGTGCTTCTTAAATGGTGTGTGTGGAAATGGGAAAACATTTCGGAGACGTTTCAGTGTATCTGATAGCACCGGTGACAGATCGAGCAAGGCCCTTGCTGTGAGGACAGGGCCGAAGGCAGTGAGCATGGTCATGCACACACGTGTGCCTTTGATCGGTCCATGCGATCGTAAAAGAAAGCAGGCAGGACTGCAGACTTGCCCTTCTGGTCACTGTTACCAACTGAGTTTATCACCCTAAATCAGTCAGGACATTTCTCTAAGCCTCAGTCTCTTCACCCGTAAAAGGGGATGATAAGATTAAGATCTCCCACTTCAGAAAGTTCTGGGCAGGTCCAAGAGCTTAAACAGAATATGCTGAAGTTCTCTAAAAATACCAGACGGCACATCCATGCCTCTGGGTTAGACCAGCCTTGAGCTCTCGGTTTGCAGACGTCTGCAGTCCTCTCCGGCCAGGCTGCGGCGACAGTGCCACTGCAGGGCAGCACAGATGAATAATGGTCAAGTAGCACAAGCCAGTTAAAACCCAAGGCCAAATCCACCTACTCATTTACATAATCAGAAGGAAGAGCAATAAGAAAGGCAAAAATATTTTTTCAAATTCCTGAGCTCCTGTCTCCTGGGCTTCCTTGTAAAGTCACAGGGTGGCCCTCACGGGGCCTAGTCCCCTGAGTCTGGGTGCACACTGCCTGCTCTCCAGCCCCTTGTTGCTCCTAGCACTGCCAGGCCGAGGTGACGAAACAGGAGCTCCTTGTAACAGGAAGGCACATATTGTCACAGTTTCCATAATCATCTTCCAAATATGTGAAGGCATTTGTCTCTTGCAACAAGGCTATTCAGGCTCTGAGGGAAAGTGGATACACTCTGAACCAGAAATTCACAGGCAACCTTTTAGCAAATCTTTCTGCAAAAGGGAAGCTTTTCCAAATTAAGAGACACCAGCATTTGAATCCAAGGGATTTGGATATCCTGTGGAACCTTCAAATTTGGGGCAAAAAATTCAAAGCTTTTGGCAAGCCAATATGTATACAATGTCAAGCAGCATTTACTTCTTTGTTTAGCTCTGGAAATCAGACTCTGTATGGGATCTAAACTGTTTGGCTCAAGAAAATTGCCTAGCTGGGGTCACTTGTGCTCCCCACCTTCCTGAGCTCAAGCTCCCTGCATTTAGAAAGGAAAGACGTCTCCCAGCCACAGGCCGCATTTAGCATTTTATTTTTAGCCTTGTGGTGATACCAGAAACACGGATGTAAACAGGAGGTTGTCAGGCATATCTAAATAGCAGAAGATTAAATTCATGTCAAGGAGAAATCTAACTGGCCCCTGCAGCAAATAAATTGTTTCCCATGAAGTGCTGTTAAATAGAATATTTATAAGATGCTTGCTTTTTCTGATGTTTATGGAGATGAGTTTCATGTACCAGGTTAGCTCGCCGTTTCGCATTTTACCGATTTTATTCTGGCTGAGTTGGAAGTGCTGTTGTACACGCATGTGCCCACTGCCCTCTACTGGTGAGAATGTGTCATGTTGGACACTGACACCAGGAGCCTCCTGAAACAGAACTTCCTGCAACAGAACTTTGCTGAAGGACTCCCTACACTGAAGGGGGCACAATCTGTGTAGTTTGGAGCAGAAAGAGGTTATGATTTTGGCTCCAGCATCAATGCTGGAAGATGTTCATTTATAAAATGATGTCAAATATTATAAACACTAGAGGAAATCCATCCTTTGCAAACAAGAGTGTGGTTATTCTGAAGCCCCTGTGGTTGGTCCTGGTGCACAAGGAGACTGATCCTGTGTCTTGCTTTTCTTTTTAAGGTATAGTCTGGGAGAACAAACTGAACATGCAGCTCGAACGCATTTCTCTTCCCGAGCTCACGATACTTACTGGGCTGCAATCTTAATAAATTTTTTTAAGAGCTGAACACGTTTGCTGGGCTGGGAACAAAGGCAAATCTCAGTGACAACCCAAAACTGAATTTCATTAAATCTCCTCAGGAACAAATCCAAGTTTGCCGTGGTCTTTTTAAAATTATGCCTTCCAAATGTATGATAGATTAGCTCCAGCTAGAAGAGAAAGGAAAACAATTTCACTTGTTTGCTTTTCAATCGCAACACCAGCGAGGTTTCTCTCTCTGTCCAGACAAGTCGACATTGGTCAGCCAATGTGAATATAATCTCTGACCGGGATTCAACCTGGACTCCAGGCCTGAAGGGCTTCAATGAGGCTGGTTAAATCTATTAACAATAAACTAGGAACTGTTGGCTTATAGACTCAGGGGGACATAGCTTACTGTAAGTCATAAAGATGTTTTTTGAACACTCAAAGACTTTCTGACAGGCTTTAGTAATAAACTCAGTATTTAAGAAATGATCATGTGGTTTCCACATTGCGCGACACGTTGACATTTGCAGCTGAGCGGTGCCAGCAGGTCTCGCCCGGGTGGCTGGGGTCCCGCTAATGTTCTCAATCAAGCAGCTTACCTCATGCACACAGTTGAAGAGTTCCCAATCATAAATTGTCATCTGGTATGCTAAATCTTTCGAGCTCATCAGTTCAAAAGTTCCCACTGTTCCGACAGTTGGGCCTTCCTGTTCTGGCAAGGGAGTCTATGAATAATCATGCAAAAATATATCAGAATCTCAAAACAGGCGAGCACTTGATGCTAACTGCTTTAACGAGTGGCTGAGGGGAAAGGATTCTGCACATGCTTTCGGGAGTGTGTTGAAACTTTGATTTCACCCAGAGGGGAAAGATCCTTCACTCTGAACACTCACTCACTTCAGTGCCCTCTTTATAGTCATCGTTGGCACCATAATCAGTTTCTCTGACTGAAAAACGTGGACCGTGACAAGTGAGAGTCAAAGCAGAGTGGCCTGTGGAGGGTCTCTTCTGCTTGGGCCTGGGGTCTCCCTGGAAACAATTCCTTTTCTCTGGTAAAGAAGTAAGACGTTCTTGAAAGCTTTTTCCTCCTATTTCCCCAGGAAGCTGTCTCAGGCAGGCACGCCAGGGTCGGACGTTTAGCGGCAGGGCTAATTACTACCCACTCTGCAGGGGCTGGTGACTGTGGTTGGTCGAGCTGCCACGCCCCGCCTCTCACGCACAGGGCCTGGGTCAGAGGGGAGGGGCTCTGGGTACTGAGATTCCTCCTCTCTCTGGGAGATGTTGTGCTAAGAATGATTTTCACATGGTCGTGATGTTTTGGGTGAGGCATCAGAAACTCAAACTCCACTGGTCTCTGGAACTCTCAGTCAGAACTTACCATCCAACTATTTCATTTTATTTTAAGAAAAATGATTTACAGCTTTCCTTGGTTAGATGAATGATTCACATACACTGGAAACAGGGATGCAATATTAATACCTGTCGATCTATAATATATGTACAAAGTTATAAAAGTCACATGAACTGAACAAGAATTTCCCTCATATTATGCATACCATATTTAGGTAGTCTATATTTGGATGGGAAGTACTAATACGGTACAAGTTGTACCATCATCATCATCATCATCATCACCCGTAACCGTTACATTCTATAAAAGCCCACTGCATTCTAGGCACTAAAGAGCTTCCACGTTCAGGATGTTGGTGGCCCCTGCATTTGAAAGGTGGCAGTCTGAGCGAGGAGTCAGCCCTGACTGGCAAGTCCTGCCCTGCACATCAGCAGAGTCAACTACTGGCATTCATGTGCACCTTCCAGGGACAGACAGAGGCATCAACACACCCCACTCCCAGACACACAACCACCACGTGGGAGAAATGAATGGGCTTTTGGAGAGTCGGAGCTTGTGTAGGGTCTGCACTGCACGTACAGGTCTGAAAACTGCCTACACCGAGGCGCAGAACTCCTGGCCTCTCGCTCCGCTGTTTCTTTGAGAGCTGACTTCTTTGTGAGGCCCGGATGGCGGTGATCGAGAGGCAGCACTGTTACCCCCCTGCTTTCCGGAGGAGGAAACTAAGACACAGAAAGGATGTGCAGATTGTCAGTGACAAGGAGATGGTTCGAGTAAGCTGCCACCCCAGCATGTCTCTCTCCTCACGCTCTGTGCCTCGCTCTCCCGTGACATTTGTCATACTGGGTTCTCATTCCACTCTGGTGTCCTTCAATACACTATGAGTTCCTTGAGTCACAAAGACCATAGTGGATTCATCTTCAAGACCATCCCAGAGCCAAAACTATCTGCCATATCTGGAACGATATAGTAGGCACTAAATAAAAGTTGAAGGAACCAGTGAATGGATAAAAGTAGAACCAAATCAGCCTTGGATGGCTTGGCTCAGAGGTTAAGAGCATCGGCCCTCGGACTAAAGAGTCTCAGGTTCGATTCTGGTCAAGGATATGTCCCTTGGTTACAGTTCGGTCCCTGGCCTTGGTCCGGGTTGTGCTGGAGGCAACCAGTAGATGTGTCTCTCTCACATCTCTCTCTCTCCCTCCCTCCCTCTCTCCCACTCTAACTGAAGATAAACAAAAAAAATTCCTCAGGTGAGGATTAAAAGAAAATTGTAGAACCAAATCACAGTATAATGGATTTTATCATGATTTGTTGTGTACTAATAGCTATGCTTCAATAAAACATCAAGAGCTTTCAAAGCTCCAGAATCCAAGCCCTTAACCAACTGTGCTAAATCGATGGCACTCTGCTAATTCTAGACAATGTTTAGCACCACAGTTTGTTCTGTTCCAGGCTGTTTGTGTTCGTCTGGCCTCCTTAACGTGACTGTGACTGTCATAAGGGACGCCAGTCTAGGGCCACACAGAAGCTAGCCCAGCACGGAGCGCAAAACAGATACTTAAGTCTGCACTGACGCGCCCAGGCTCTGGACAACGTTACGGAGAGCAGGCATCCTGTGTACACCTCTTCCTAGAAGGACTGTCATTAAAGAAATCTTTAGAAAGCCAGAAAAGGAGCTGCCTGTCTCAGGTAAGGTCTGACCACTCTTAAGTACGACGACATAACTTGCTGCCCAGTGAGTGATGGAACACCCAATAGGGAACAAGTTAAACAAGTTCCTGTCCCGGGTACTTGTTGCAAAGTAAATTCCTTTCAGTGGCTCAGGCCTTAAAATGGAAGACTTGCAGGGACTAAAAACTTGTAAGGCTGCTGGATGATGTGCAAATAAACAGAGGCTTAAAAGTCGGTGTCTGCCCCATAGGGAGCTGGAGACAGTCCACAGGCTCCCCGCACACACAGCAGCATTGCGTACAGTGGCCAAGGACCAGCTGGCGGGAGGGGCCTGAGCGCCATGCGGCACACGCCTCACGCGGCACACGCCTCACGCGGCACACGCCTCACGCGGCACACGCCTCACGCGGCACACGCCTCACGCGGCACACGCCTCACGCGGCACACGCCTCACGCGGCACACGCCTCACGCGGCACACGCCTCACGCGGCACACGCCTCACGCGGCACACGCCTCACGCGGCACACGCCTCACGCGGCACACGCCTCACGCGGCACCCTCTCTGTGCGACACTCAGCCGGGTTTTGACAGCTTTTATTTCCAGGAGAGGGCAGCACGACTCATTTACAACATTATTTTTCCCAGTCCCTCAGTGCGAAATATTTAGTTTTTAGAAAGCAATGAATGTGGATGACTGAAAAAGTATACGAAAGGACAGTGAGCAGACTCAGATCTTGTAGTGCTGGTGGCTGAGGAAAGGCCACGGTGGAGCAGGGGTAGTAAGATAACTGGGGCTGTGCCGTTGTTCCTCTCTGGGTGAACTGCAGATACTGCAAAAATCTGCGGAGTTGTGCTCGCGTGTACAGAACGGTTCCCCCCGACCCGAAACCAGAATTATGATGAGGCGAAAACAAGCTCTAACAGTCCAAGGAGGGAAATCTTGATTTACCTACAATGTCCAATTGGATTCAACTTGAGCATAGCATGCAGTACTTATGTGGTTAGTTAAACCCTCCCCCCAAAGGCAATGCCGTTCACCTCTAGCCTCTGTGTGTTCAAAGATGGAGAACACTGGTCCTCTATCCTCTGAATTGGCCCCACAGGCTTTCTAAGATACTCTAACAGGTACTCACCTCCGAGCCTCATTTTTATAGGATAAACCGAGATGAACCCTACCACCTGCATGAAAGAGAGTAGGCTACTCCGTTGTTAGCATGAGCCAGTTACTCCTGTATTCACCGAGAGCTCGGTGTGGCGGGGGACAAGTGTTTCGGGGACCTGGGGCAGCCTGCTGGCCCCTGGCATTTCCTACACGAGACAGAGAACACTTTCAGGAAATAGCGTTTTCGCAGACTGGAGGGGGCTTTGCCACAGTGTATTTCTACGTCCTCCTAGGGAATATGATACCTCAGGATAACATGCCTTAAAATTATTTTTAAATTCATATGTTTAATATTAATATTTAAATCGGGGGTATTTCAAGGAGGTGAATTACTGCAAAGAGTTCTGAAAGCTGCATTATGCCCCAGGAGTGGTGCTACTTGGGCTCATTCCACGAAGGAAACCTAAGCGCAGATCATCTCAAATGAACACCTGAGGCCTACCTCATAGACCGCAGAAAGGGGGAAAGCAAGCAGCATTCGAGCCCTTTAGCAGCTCGGTTCACCCTGACTGCCAGGTGACGCTCCAGACAAGCTTTCCTGATTGCAGACGCGGCGCTGAGGAGGCCACGCACACCTACCAGTGAATCGAACTGCTCTCGCGGGCAAGCAAACAGGCGTCCGTTAATGGTGAGCGTCGTAAACACGGAAACATCATTAGGCTTGAGCACCACCTTTTCTGTGAACATAAAAAGCATGAGATTGCCTATTAAATGCTCTGAGATTTGCTGCACTGCCCTAATCACACCAACAAATTGCCAGCTCGGGGAATTACGGGAACATGCAGAGCGCCTGCATAAAACATAGCGCTGGAGGGGCGCACTGAATACAAGAGACACGGCGTTCACACAAGCACACGACACTCAGGATGCCATCAGAAGGGACCGCAGAAACAGGTCTGCAAATACCCGAGGGTCAATTCCCCCAGCTCTGTGCTGCAACTGTAATTACATACAAAACACACTTGCTATTTATGTAACAAGTTATCTTTCCAGATGGTAATCGCGCCCAGCCTTTTGGAGATAGAAAGAGCACTTTTAGAAAACTTAGGCAGGGGGTTCTGAGATCCCATATGACTTTAGATTGGGAAATTTTATTATTAGTTTTCATTTATTTCCTAATTTGGAGGGCAATTGCATTACCTACATTTAGCCTTCTATGTTGTAAAAATTAATTCATCCAATAAATATTTATTTAGACTTTATACTACATGCTGGACACTACTCTAGACAATGAAGATACAGAAGGGAACAATGCGGAAAAGAAAAAATCTCAGTCCAAGAAGAGCTTACATCGTAGTGAGGGAGGCAGTGACCAAGATACATACAGTAGAGCGGACGTGATGAGAAGAGAGAAACACAGCAGGGAAGGAGGCCAGGCAGCATGTGGAAGGGGGAAGCTGCAGTTTAGAAAGGGAATCAAGATCAGGAGGGGGTCCTGAGTGAGACACGGCCATTTGGGTGAAGACCTAAGGAAGAGCGGGATGGACCGGGGGTAGCCAAGGGGAGAACACACCAGGGCCAGCGAGGGCGGACGCCCAGGCCCTGCATGACTGCGACGGAAATGAAAGGAGAGGTCTCGGGCGAGTCCAGCATGCCCTCCACGTTCCTACATCAGTGGTGTCGTTTGCCTCCAAATGCAGCAAAAATAGCTCACCTGATCCTGCAAGGTTCCCCAGATGGCTGTTGAATCATTACCGGATACAGTAACCTGGCTGCGCCTTCCTCCTGGCTCTCGGTGCCACGGACCTGCTGTCCCTTCCTAAGCTCTTGCTGGCATGGATGGTAATGGTTCATTTGCTGTTTACCTCCTTACCAGCTGGGGAGCAACTCGGGGGCATGGGCTATGTCCAGTCATCCTCTCTGGTCACAGCCCCACTGAGTGACCAGCAAATTTATGACGAATGAATAAATGACATTTCAGGAAAGCACAGAGTAACTCTGTGGGGGAAAGACTCCTTCCATCTCTGATGACCCGGGTGCCAGCGTTCTCTGCTGCGTAAGGAGGGGACCGTCATCAGCTGAGACGAACTAGCCTATGACCACCTCCAACGTCAGACTTTAGCTTGTCGTGCCAGATGCTCTCTTGGTGTCTGTGTTTCTCAGAGCTTCAAGGCCTTAAGCATTTTCTTTGGGTTTTATAAGGAAGGAACTCCAGGCTGACATCCACACTCCAGTCGTCAGTTCCAGCCGCCTCAGACAGATCGCGTCACCCCTTCCTGCTGCAGAGCGGGCTCTTACCCAGCTCCCCTCTAACCCTATGATTTCTGTCATCCATGGCAAGATACACAGCACCACTTGGCCCCTTTGGATCAAATGGAAGGGCCACACTAGCTCCTGGTGGGGTTTCTGTCGGGATGAGACATCTCATTTTGCAGAAGCTCAAAGTACTAAGCAAGTTACCAAAGTACTGTTACCTCCTCCGGAACTCATCTTGACGATGATCAGGCCTTCCCCAGAGCCCAGTTTGTCCGCAACTGCACTGATGACTTCCTTCACCGAGGCAGCAACCGGCACCCGAATGGTTGTGTAGGTGTGGTCCATGCAATAGACCTTAAACAGAACTATTGGGAAGGCAGAGCAATGTGGTCAGTTAGTCTTGGGAGCTCTTAAGAAAACTGTAAGCTATGCAGACATCCTCCAAAACTTGCGGCATCTTGCCATTCTTACTAGTGTATTTATTTGGGCTCGTCTACACCTGTTTGTCCCCTTCTAAAGCTCTTTGTCCTTAGCATTGGTCTAAGAATAGGTGCACCCAACTGTAGTTCCCAATTAAAATAAACAACAAGAGATTATTTGTGAAAAACCTACACATAGATCATGGGAAAAAAATGAAAGGCTCAGTCAATTTTCTGAGTCTGTCCTTGTCTGCTTGCACAATGCAGGGAGTGTTAGGGCTGATGACTAGATTACTGCTGCATGGTGTGTGTGTGTGTGTGTGGGGGGGGGGCAACATTAACACCTCTGCAACAGGAGTGCTCTTGCCTGGGGCCGTGTATGCCTACACTCCAGCTCCCTTGTTCAGTGGTTGGTGTACTTTGGGGCTGGGCCACATAGCTTGGAAGGCATTTAAGTCAGCAGATGTCAGCAGATACAAAAGTGGCACCCACAGGCTCACCTCTGAATACACAAACCCTGTAAGCAGTTCTAGCTACTGTAATTCTTGGGTTTAGAGGCACTCCTAAATTACAAGGTTCATTTGTGGCTTAAAAATTTAAAAATGTATCATGTTATTTGTTTCATTTTGTTTTGGTTTTTTAGAGAAATCTTAAGCAAATAACAATGGCCATCATCTGCACCTCCCTGATGGCTGCTAACGAGACTGTGCTCAGAGCAGAGCACTCTCCGGGACAGGAGCCCTACTCTGCAAATGACCCTGGCACCCCACTTCTGCTAGGTATCTACCAAGTGCCAGCTACTTTCTTGCCAGCCCTTCCCGGAGGTGGGCAACCTTGACAACTGGTCCCTGAGATGATCTTTCTTTCCTTCAAGGACAGGTGGTGGTGGGAGAGAGGCAGAATCAGGGAAGCGTGAATGAGCACCTCAGCTCCAAGCACAGAGCTCAAGAACATAAGTAACTGCAATGCAAAAGGGCACCTCAAAGCAACCCATTTGGGGTGCAAAGGGGCACCCCAAGGAAAGCTATTCTGTGGGTCCAAGGTGACAATTCCCAGAAGGTTTTGATCAAACAATCTAAACAATCTTGAGCTGGGAGAGCATCTCACCTTCATCAGAGCCTCGGATAGGCTGGCGCTTCTGGCCTCTTTCATCGCCCGTGTTAAACTGTTGCAAAAGAACTTTGTGCTGTAAAAATAATAACAGTACTGGCTTTAAAGGGAGAGTGAGTACCGATGCACATTTGCAGCTCGAAGGAAACACGCCTGAGAAGCAGACTCAAGAAATGAAGAAAACATGTATTGTATCGATGAAAACATCCCTTTTGCATGTCGCAATATAACGTTTCTGGAGAACTGTCATTTGGCTGGGCACAGACAATTCAAGAATCTTAATCCATCGCCACTTACCTTCTTTTGTGGATTCTTGGCATCTTCTGAACTACGAGAAACAGAGAGAGCACATTATTTGATACCATTGGTCCTATTATTTGAAATTACTTCATTTGTAAATAACTCTAATCTTATGTTAGAAAATGAAATCCCAGCATCCTTTCAGGAGGCAATCTGAGCGTCCTCACTTTAATACTGAGACGTGCAGGACACGGCGAGAGCTGCACTTGCCACAGGCAGATCCCTAGCAGAACTGATGTTAAAAACCCGGGTTTCTGGCTCTCAAAATCTAGCAGCATACACTCTCTCCACTATTCAATCTGTGGCTGAGGAACAGCATGCAAAAACCTGTGTTTTCACTGACAGGACACAAATATTCACCATCAACAGCCTTGGCAGCAGAAAGTGAATTTTCCATGTAAGTAATCCCCCTCGAACTTCCTTTAAATGCCACTGACCATTTTCTGACTGCATTAACTGCTTTGAAACACAGGGACCCATGTTTACTGAGATAGATGCCCTAAAGAAGGATATTTCTCTTTGCAGGCTTTCTCCTGGCAGGCCCCCAGCCTAGGAGGAAGCTGAGCAGAATCTCAGTCCTTTCCTTATCTGGCCTTATCCCAGCATCTATGCCCCAGGCCCCGTCTGCTCAAACCAGGACGTGGCATGGCTGTTGAAAAACCAGCTTTCACCTCTTGGGGGACAGAGGACTTTGTGAAGATGTTTTGATGGAGAGCAGGCACTTCGCGAGGAAGCGCACCCCAAAGCCAAGCCCCTCCTTACATCTGCTTGACGATCCTCTCCAACTCGGGCAGTTGCTCCTTAAGGGCAGCGATCATCCGGGCGTCGTCGGACACAGACACATAAAACTCCTGTAATCGGCAAAGGTCACAGGCTTTAACAAGAACTGCAAAAGGATGACAGTTCTGTAAAGAGCAATAAAGGCATGTCATCTGCTTCACTAGCATCTCCCAACCATGGTTTCATGGACTGGAGACAAAGAAGAAAATATTAAAATATGCCCAAAGCCAAAATCGAAAGTGAGAAAACATTTTAGAAATAGAGGTGATGATTGTACAATATTGTGCATATAATTAATGCCACTGAATTGTACACTTAAAATGGTTAACATGGCAAATTTTATGTTGGATATATTTTATGACCAAAAAAATTTTTTTTAAATGTAATTGCTAATGAAATGTTCATATGATATTTCTGTGAAAGGCGATGTAATGCGATGTTTTGGAATGGGTCATTTCAGAGCCTACCTTCTAAGAACACTTTTTTCTCCTCAATATTTTTTCAAGGGAATTTTAATATTTATTTTGATATTTGGTAGTTGTTGTTTATTTAATATTTACCACTAGTAGCAGTTAATTGTCGTGGTTAAAAAGGCAAGCAAGGTCTTCAGCACTGTACTAGATTTATGTTGAGCTTGTGCCACCGACCCAGGTCTCTGCTGAGGTTCTGGAGCTGTGGCCGGGCCGCTGGACCTCCGAGCCACCCAGCTGCCTCCCCGACACCTGGGCCCTAACTCCACGGGCAGAGGCCATGGATCGAGCCATGATTCTAAGCTACTATTGTCCCTTCGCGCTTTCAAAATACTTCCTCTCCCAGCTTTAAAGGGCTCTTGTGGTCCACCCTTCCCTCCCCCCTCACCTAGCTCTGCCTGGCAAATGATATGATTAAAAAGAAGATAAGGGGTATGTTTCTTTTGGACCACTCATTCTTGAACACACAGACTGATAAAGTCTGAAACAGAAGCCACATTGTGTTTTGCCTGCGCAGAAGCCAGGTCCTTATCTCAGCTTTGAGGACCCAGTGAGTCAGCAAGAACTGAATGCCAGGGTCTACGCTAGCTGTGGGGCCAGCCCTGGGAAAGAAAGGGAAGTTCAGCTGAAAAGCAGTGTTTACAAAATAAATCACATCTCACCCTGGCCGGTTTGGCTCAGTGGTTAGAGCATCGGCCTGCGGTCCAGAGAGACCCAGGTTGGGTTCCCGCCAAGGGCACGTACCTCGGTTGCAGTTTGTCCCCGGCCCTGGTTGGGTGGTGCGGGTGGCAACCACTTGATGTGTCCCTTTCACGTCGATGTTTCTCTCTCTCTCTCCCTCCCACTCTATCTGAACAAAAAAATGGAAAAATGTCCTTGGGTGAGGATTAAAAAAACAAAAACAACAAAATAAATCACATCTCTTCAGAACACCTCATGGTCTCAGTAATTCCTGGCTGGCATGATTCAATGGTTAGAGCATTGGCTTGTGCACTGAAGGGTCATGGGTTCTGGGTTCCAAGTTCAGTTCCCAGTCGGGGCCCATGTGAGAGGCAACCAATCAATGTGTCTCTTTCACATTGATGTTTCTCTCTTTCTCCTCTCTCTCCCCTTACTCCCTTCTTCTCACTCTCTAAAAATCAATGGAAAAAATATCCTCAAGTAAGGATTAATAAAAAAAGGAAAGTTATCTGCTTCACTCCACTCAAATCTTTCATTTGATGCAGTAATCCTGTGTCCAGGAGTGTAGCAAGGACGGACCCACATGCACAAAGTGTTACTCTAGGAAGGTGAAAATGGAAATGATGTAGATTTCACCAATACGGGAACAAATAAACAGATCTGTGGCAGAGCTACTCAAAGGTCCTTCGAGAGAACGTACTGACATGGAAAAATCCTTACATGAAGCTAAGTGGAATAAGCAGCCTGCAAAATGATGGCTACTCTATGGAAAATATACAGAGAAAAAGAGACTAAATAAAAATACATTAACATGCTACCAGTTATTGGATCTGAGTGGTGGGATAATGCTGTTTCTTTACTTTTCTCATAGCACCTTTCTGATAAATGACATGTTAACCAAGTCTAGAACTGGCGATTAGAGTCTCTCCAGGGGGGCTGCCCTGCCTATTGCTAGTCCGAGTATTGCAGGACAAAGCTGTGTTCTCGGAAGGGAGCACCCGCGTACCTCCAGGAAAGCCAGAGCCACGTCATCCTCTTGCAGGAGGTCTCCATACACGGCGGCCCACTGCAAAACCAGGCGGACGACTCGCCTCTTGTTGTTGAGGGCATAATCCACTTTCTCCTGCTCCGTGCCTTGTGAAGGCTGTGCGTGGTAGGTTCCGGGGAGTCAAGGAGGACATCAACCGTCTCACTCATTTGTGCTACTTGCAAGCGCAGAGCGTGACAGACCCCAGCGTCAGACAGCCGGCCTTTCAACCGATTCGTTTCTTCCCTTAGGCCCTCAAGAAAATCTCCACCCACACGAGAGTTCTGGACCAAATGAATACAAACCCTTCTTGATGACTGCTGACCTTGACTGATAGTTGCCTAAGAAATTGGACTTGCTCGCTCCACCTGGACTTGTGCCTATCTCTGCCTTCATCGGGCTGTAGACATTCCTGCCTGCCCTTCACCTTGCGCTTCATGTCTAGGGCTGGTAATGCTTGTCTCTGGGTGCCTTGCCACGTCTGGTTGGTTCACGCAATTCTGCACACATCTCTTTAACCCCCTTCATTGTATGCATTTCAGTTACCCTGTTCCAAGTGCCCATCCAGTAATGCTGAAACCATGACTGATACAGGAGTGTGTGGGGTTGGTGTGGGGAGGAGTAAGGCCAGAGGAAGATGAGCTCACCCAGTAGGAGGAAGAGGAAAGGTTCCTGCTAATTGGTCTTCTGCTGAGGGACTCAGACAGTTTCTATACCATTCCTCCTTCTCCTGTCTAGAACCACAACCAACTCATACTGGCTTTTTGTGCTTTAATGGCTAGCTATCTTAAAATGTAAGCTCTCTGAGGCTTCGGATGAGACATCATTTGTTTTGTATTCTATACCATGCCTAGCAGTGACTTTTATAGAGACATTGTATTTATTTATTAATACAGCTACTTGATTGAGTGCCCACTGTACATGTCAGGGAAAGGACCCCTCTCGGTGTTCATCCTCATGTGGATCACAGTAGGAGAATGTGTATGTGATCATGGAAGACTTTAGACTAGACAGACTGTTCCTTTTTCAGTGACTATTACAGATCATTAGTTCACAGAAGACTTTCCTCATCACAATGTACGTGGTGGCTTGCACATAGAGTACCACAGGTAAGCTCACTTGACAGTCTTGCGATGGAAGTTTCGTTCCCTTTCTACAGGGAGCACACTGACAAGAAAGGAGCATAAATGGCCAGGTTACATAGGAGGATGTAGAGTTGATTTTGAATCCAAGACTGCTAATTCCAGCTGGTTTTCTTCCGCATTACACAACAGGCCTCAGAGCTGCCTGCTCGGGGCCTGCCTTGGCTTTCCATCTGGACTTCAAAGGCAAAACAGAAAACTGCCCCAGGCAGTACCGCGCTTGAGAACTACACCAGTAAAGGGCCTTTTCTAAAGGCCATAAATAATCATGATCAAGGTAAATGACAGAGCTTAAAGCAAAGGTGTCCTGCATGTAAATGTGTTGCAAAATGGCTTTCATAAATTGAGCACGGGATTCATAAAAAAGAAAATTGCTCAACCTGTATTGCTACAATTCTCTCTGAACTTACAATAAAAAAAAGGGAAGAAAGATCATTTTATGTGAAAATTCTTTTCTGATTAACCCTTTGGTCTCTTGCTTGTATGCACACATAACTCAGGTTTCTTTCCCCAAAGAATTGCAACACTGGGCACCACATTTTATGACTATTTTTATGGTAACCAGAAACATAGTCAGGTGCATGGTGGTTACCAAATGAATAATTCCTGACAGATTATAAAACCATGAACTGGTTCACCCGAGAGTGAGTGAGAAAAAGAGTCTTTTCAATTTGCACGGGACTGAAACAGTTTGAAATTTCAAGTTGATGTCAAGAGGCTGTCAGTCTAACTTCCCAGGTTACCTTGGTTTGGACTCCAGGAGACAATACAACGCCTGGGTGTTGGCTACAGAGGTATCAGCAGCACACCTGTGGCTGACCTCTCGGGCCCTCATATATGAGAACTAAATCAACATGTCTCTGCAGGTCAAAACAAAGGTTTTTCCTGTCCTCTTTCCTGCTGGGGAAATCTGTCTGTTGTCAACAATGAAAGAAAGAATACCTGACTGGAAGGATTAGCATAACGGTTCAAATATGTAAAGAGCTTGACAATTTATAATAAATATGCCTAATATGCTCACATGATCACATAATGCTCTCCACAGATATGAAGGGGAGGTATTTACAGATGAGTAAACCAGGGAGAAGTACGGGAGAAGAGATCCGCCCAACGTTGTTCAGGGAGTAAACGATAGGGTTTACAAATCTAGACAAATACAGCTCTTTACAGTGGCTACGGTGACAAGACATTAGTGCTTGGGTTCCTGGAATTGTTAAATAATTGTATTTGGGAAGCAAAAATCCTAATGGAATTTTTTTTTTTTTTTTTTTTTGCTGAAGTTCCAAGTTTCCTGGAGCTGACTCGGCATGATGGGAACCTGCACCAGAGCTGAGTGCCTGCTGTTGGCATGGTCGTAACTCCTGGCCTCCTGGGAGCTAGAACTGACCGAATCTGGGGGAAGAGGCGTTCTCCATTTTCTCATAAAAGTTAAGTAGTTTTGCCTTTGGACAAACACAAGGAAGCACAGCCTGGCCTGTCCCCTTACAGATGTTCATTTACTAAGACAGAGGTGGAGGTAATACTACTTTTATAGCTGAATCCAGGCACGTGCTCAAGGATGCTGCCCCTCCGCAGGAGACAATACAACGCCTGGGTGTTGGCTACAGAGGTATCAGCAGCACACCTGTGGCTGACCTCTCGTGCTGTTCCAGTCCTGAGCAGTCTGCTGAATCAGATTCTTTTTTTTTTTTTTTTTTGTAATCCTCACCCGAGGATATTTTTCCATTTTTTGTACAGATAGAGTGGGAGGGAGAGAGAGGAAGGGAGAGAGAGAGAGAAACATCGATGTGAAGGGACACATCGAGTGGCTGCCACCCGCACGACCAACCAGGGCCGGGGACAAACTGCAACCGAGGTACATGCCCTTAGCGGGAACCAAACCCGGGTCTCTCCGGACCGCAGGCCGACGCTCTAACCGCTGAGCCAAACTGGCCAGGGCTGAATCAGATTCTTAAGGGACACAGAGGAGACTTTACATGTAATTGCTTATACCTGAAATGGTGACAGGCGAGCTGCTGGGGGTTCTATTTATTCCCATAACAATCTTCTCAGGCTTTTAGAAGGTTTACGTGATTTTTAGATTTTATTAAACTCCTACAAAAAAGGTGGGAGAGGAAAAAAAAACTATAGAGTCTTTAGATAGCAACCCAAGATTTAAGAACATCCCACCAAGTCCCTTGTCTCAATATGGAAAGAGACACGGAAAAATAACATGGTTCTGGCATCTCATAAAGTGCTACGTAAAAGTCTATAAGAGAATCTAGAATTAGTCACTGAGCTGTTATTTTAAACACAATTTTAAAAAGGCCATAATAGTCCAAGTGGCCAAAGTCATCACTGACATTGAATTCATTGCAGACGATTCACAGAATCATAGAATTTGTGAGTTGCAAAAGCCCTTTCACTGTATCCTTCAAAACCACCATTTTAGAGGTAAGGAAACTGAGGTAGAATGAGGTGATTTTTCCAAACTTATCAATGGAATTCTTGGGACAAGAACCCCGTTCTCTCATCTCCCTCCCTAGTACTCTATTTACTTGTTTGTGCTGTTGTGTTTTATCTGACATTAATATTTTTTATGCTAACATGCAGGATGTCCCGCCAAAAAATGTATACAGGGTGTCTGTAAATTCAATTACATTTTTTATTTATTTATTTATTTTATTTTATTTTTATCCTCACCTGAGGACATTTTTCTATTTTTTGTTCAGGTAGAGTGGAAGGGGGAGAGAGGAAGAGAGAGAGAATCATCGATGTGAAAGGAACACATCGAGTGGCTGCCACCCGCACGACCAACCAGGGCCGGGGACAAACTGCAACCGAGGTACATGCCCTTAGCGGGAACCGAACCCGGGTCTCTCAGGACCGCAGGCCGACGCTCTAACCGCTGAGCCAAACCGGCCAGGGCGAATTACATTTTTTAAATGAAATTTATTTTAATAAACACTGGCTTTATAATGGTTCCAAGTGTACATACATTTTGGGGAGACACCCTATATATTATACAGCTGAGTTAGGTTAGATAACAGGGAAATCCCTCCGAGAGGTAGAAAGTGATCCCCACAAATTCTCAAAGACAACTAAGTGCGTGCAAGATACCAAGTTAATTGTTGCAGCCTTGTCAATTTGATAGAAATGTTAGCTGAGCTAGATCCTCTCTGCTATAGTTTTAACCAGTTCTTTTGTCCAATATCTGGCGATTTAGAAAGTAGTGACTCACCACTACTAACCAAACTTTCTTAAACCTACTGACCATTCAAATCCTAACTTGAGGTTTCTGTTGGTGTGGTAAGAAGATCCCTTCCCATCTGGCAGCACTAAAGCTGAACTTGGACAGCAGGAGCCGTGAGTGAGACTCATGCTGCACCTGCATCTCGCAGACAAGGACCGGGCGCGTGGAAACTCGAAAGCCTCGTGTTTGCTGGCTGACTGCTTCCCTGGAACAATTCAGTCACACTGTGAGGAGGGCTATATATAACGTAATTTTCTAAAACATAAAAGAATTTTTTTTATCTTACCATCGCTCTTTAAAACCCTTTCTCTAAATCATCTGAAGTTCTGTCTTGTTGAGATGTCAACAAGATCACAGATACATTCTAAACAAGATCATACTCAGTGTCTCCAGGCTGACTAAGTCTACACAAACACCAAAATGCCCAGTATCTTTAAACAGAATCGCTTAGTTATCGAGTATTTACTCTATAGCACCACAGACGTTGAGCAACTAGGTCTCCATCGAGTCGGACCAGCACCTCAGCGTCAGTCAGAGGTGGCTGGGCACAGACTGGGTCACTCTCCGTGAGGTGTCAGGCTGGAGTTAGGAGAGGTGAAGTCCACAGTGCGGGCTACGGTCTTTCTACCTGCAACAGTAGGCTTAATATTCCACGGAGTAATTTTCCTCATGCCAGCTCTGCCTTCAACACTGTAATTATTTCATATATTTTTACCTACTTATTATCTTACTCACCACAGGCACCTGTAATTTTTC